TTTCCCTCTGACTATTCCTCGCTGACTCCACTCCAGCTGCCTGATGCTCAAACAGGCCAGAGTATGAGCTCATTGCCCTCCTGGGCTCTTCTTTTATGCCTCTGCGCAGAACTGCACTGCTCTCCCTTAGAAGACGGTGCATTCCCCTCTCCGTGGGTGCTGTGCCTCAGCCCTCTCACTTTTGGGCCTGCCGAGCCTCTCAGGGGCCAGTCACACTTAGCTTCCCAGCCACATCGTTGCCAGCAGCTGGGAATTGCCGGAAGCTGGGGTTCACTGGCACTTCTGGGTTCACTCCTGGGCAGGCTTGCCAGCGGTGGAGGAAGTCCAACACGACTCCCAGAGGAGCTGAGTGATGATTCCAGTCACGCCCAGAATCCCACTAGTCACAGGGGCTGGGGACCAGCTCCCTGCTGCACCTGGATAGGCCCTCTGGTGGCAGCAGAAACCCAGTGCGGCTTCTGGATAAATTGAGCGGTGACCTTGGCTGCACTTGGGGTCCCGTTTGTAACAGGGGTTGGAAGCAGTTCCCTGTTACAATGAGGCATATTTCTTTCAAATTAAAATGGCAAGATAAACATAGATATATTTATGGCTGCTATTTTGTCCACCTCAAAAGCGTTTTCAATGGATCCAAGCTAGTGACATCTGGGCTGTGTATCACAGGCAGTCTGACATCACTTGCATGCCTTGACCTCGCTCCCCCTTTAAGCCACAAGCTTCAAGAGGATCTTTGACCTTGGCTTTTCATTCTGGATCTAAGTTAGAATCAGACTCTGAGCAGAAACCTTAGATCTAGGAATTAAAATCTTAAAACACCAGAAATTCACAAATGCAGTCAGAGTTTTGGTCAATTTCTATACTAGCCAAAATCTTTCCTTACTCAAGGTACTTCCTTACTTCAACGAGAGTTTTGTCTGAGTTGCACACAGATCAAGGACTTCAGTATTTGGCTTCCTGTGAGTTCTTACATCATTCTTAAACTGAAGAATACAGCCCCAGGCCCCTAGCGTATTGATAAGACCTTGACCAGGAGTTCACCAGGGAACTGGCTGAGACTGCATGCTTCCGGTGTATGGTTGTCATGGGAGACTAACTACCCAGACATCTCGTGGGAGGACTGCTCAGCCAAATCTGAGCAGTTGCAAAGCTTTCTCTCGTGAGTGGATGACCCCTATCTGACACAGGAAGTCTACGGGCTGACAAGAGGCAAAGTGCTGCTTGACCTTGTACTGGCAACCGGGGATGACCTAATCAGTGACCTAAAGATCGAAGGGAAGCTGGGTGACAGTGAACATTAGCTGATCACCTTCACCATCTGCCGTAAAGCTGGCAAGTCAGTCAGTAATACAGAAGTCCTCGACTTCAGGAAAGCTGACTTTGACAAGCTAAGGAGGCTTGTCAGAGAGGCCCAAAGGGCCACAACCCAAAGGAGAGGGGAGTTCAGGATGAGTGGTTGCTCCTCAAGGGAGCAATCCTGGATGCTCAAGCAAAGTCCATCCCGTCTTGGAGAAAAGGCAGCAGAAGGGCACAGCAGCCCCCTTGGCTCTCCAGGGAAGTGGCAGACCTCCTGCGTCTTAAAAGGAAGACCTACAAAGGATGGAGGACTGGAACCACCACCAAGGAGGAATGCTCTGCTGTGGTCCAGACCTGCAGAGAGCAAACCAGGGAAGCCAAGGCTGCAATGGAACTCCAGCTACAAATATCAAGGATAATAAAAAGTCCTTTTTTAAATATGTGGGGAGCCAGAGGAAAAGCAAGGGCAACATTGGACCCCTGCTAAACCAGATGGGGCAACTGACAACTGATGCCCAGGAAAAAGCCAACTTGCTAAACGAGTACTTTGCGTTGGTCTTTCACCAGTCCCATGGGACACCCCTGCCCACTGTGGGTCACGAGGCCTGGGTGAGGGAGATTCCTTGCCCTTCATCGAAGCTGACCTTGTGAAGCAACACCTTGACAGGCTGGATACCTTCAAGTCAGCTGGCCCTGACAGGTTACACCCAAGGGTACTCAAGGAGCTGGCAAGCATCATAGCTCAGCCCCTGGCACAAATCTTTGAGAGCTCTTGGTGCTCTGGTGAAGTGCCCGAAGATTGGAAGAGGGCCAATGTCATGCCTATCTTCAAGAAAGGGAGGAAAGTAGATCCGGCAAACTACAGGCTCATCAGCCTGACCTCTATCCTGGGGAAGGTCTTGGAAAAGATCAAAGAGGCCATCCTTAACAGACTAGCTGAAGGCAATATCCTGAGGGATACCCAGCATGGGTTTGTTGCAGGTAGGTCTTGCTTGACCAATCTCATTTCCTTTTATGACCAGGTGACCTATCACCTTGACAAGGGGGAAGAGACTGACGTTGTATATCTTGACTTTAAAAAAGCGTTCGATCTGGTATCCCATGATCACCTCTTGGCTAAACTGGCTAACTGTGGCCTCGACCTCACCACGATCCACTGGCTGGGGAATTGGCTCCGCAGTAGGCCTCAGAGGGCGGTGGTTGACAGGATCCAATCATCTTTGTACACGGTCACCAGTGGGCTCCCTCAATGCTCTGTCCTAGTGCCTATACTATTTAACATCTTCATCGATGATGCGGACATTGGTTCCTGTGTGTATCAGGAAGCACATCTACATGATCAATTAATGTGCTTTAGGTAATGCATATTAAATCTAGTACCTCCATTGTGAGTTCTTTCACCAGTTTTTTTGTGATGCTTGCATGCACATTAAAATAGGCCAATGTGCATTAAAGCCAGGGAAAGTAAAATCTACTGTTCAATAGGGTTGTGCGAAACACTATCGTTCTGTCTCAACATCCATTTTGCCATTTCGAAGGGACAGCATTTCATTTCATTGTTTTGTTTCAAAGCACTGTCCCATTTCATTTTGTCGAAACTGTTTCGCTGTTTCGACGCATTTTAATGTTTCGCCCATACGCTATAACAGGAAATCATGAAAATGCCTAAAATGTTGTCATTTCTTGCCTGATTTGGATGAAAATTGCAGTGATGGTAGCCCCTTCTGAGTGTAAAAAGCCTGCCATATTTCAAGGAGATACATGCAGAGGTTTCTGAGAAACTGTACCTCAAACTGTTCAAAACACAACTCCTGACACTTGCCGGCAGCAGCAGTCTTCTCTCATCCAGCACACAGATCTGGGGGCCTGCACGCCCGGGAGGGCTGTGGGGCTATGCTGGACTCCTTCTGGGGGTACAGAGCCCCAGATCTGTGCACCGGATGAAAGGAGGCTGCTGCTGCTGCCTGGGACCAGCGCTGGGAACAGTCCGCGCCCAGCACCGAAGATTGCTGCTGCCACTTGTCCCAGGAGGCAGTGGCAGCCTCCTCTCATCTAGTGTGCATATCCAGGGGCTCGCACCTCTGGGAGGAGTCCGGCACAGCTCCGCAGCCCTCCTGGAGGTGCGGGCCTCCAGATCTATGTGCCGGATGAGAGGAGACTGCCACTGCCACCTGGGACTGGAGCTGAAGCCAAGTAAGCCCAGCTTTGAAACTCGAAACGTTTTGAATGCCTTATTTCATTTCAAAGCTGTTTCGAACTCCTTGGTTTTGTTTCAGTGTTGCTGTTTCGACCTCAAAATGCCCTGAAACAGCTTTGAAACAAAACACCCAGTGAAATTTCACACAGCCCTACTGTTCAATGACTGCTGCTTCTTGTTTTGGACTCTTATGTGAATGTCTTTGAACAGATCAAGTTAACTTTGCTGTTCCAAATTTGAAAATCCAGATAGGTGTTTGGTCTTATAAACCAGAAAGTATTTCAATTGCACAACGTGAAAAGCGACTCTTCTACTGATACTTCTGATTGGAAAAAAACTGCCAGAAAAGAAATGTAAAGTTTGCTTTCTAGGAATGTTATCATGTGCAAGGGGCAAACTGGTCTTCCAAGAATAGTCATGAAAGTAAAGCTCTTTCACTAATGTTCACAGAAAGTGAACACCAAAGGGTCTTGAATGCAGCTGAAAATAATTATTAAAAAAAATTGAAATGGCTATTATTCACACAATATTTTGCATTATTTATCAATATATTTTAAGTTACAGTAGGAAAAAGTCTCATGAACTTACACTACGCTTAACACATATGAATACACACACACACGCTCAAAGCATTTATTCATCTTTAGCAAAAAAACCCAAACCTATGAATATGAGGGATTGTCATTAAGATTAACACTAATTAGTATTTGCATAGTAGTTTACACATTTGGTGTTATGGAGACATCAATTAATGCTCTGAACTACTCAGTCCCATGGCATATTTGGCATTGATGAGGCCACAGCTGGAGTACTGTGTTCAGTTCCAGGCATCACAATTCAGGAAGGACGTGGATAACATTGAAAGGGTACCAAGTAGGGCCACCCATATGTTTAGGGGCCTGGAGGATAAGCCCTATGAGAAGAGACTCCAGGAACTGAGTTTGTTCAGTCTGAGCAAGAGAACCAAAAATTCTAATCTAGGCTCCATTATCAAATCCCTCTGTGATTTTGCCCAAATCACAGTCTCCCTACCTCAGTGTACTTATTCAGATAATACAACTTAGTTCCCTACCTAACAGAAATGTTTGGGAGACTAAGGAGCTAATGTTATGTGACATTACTTGGAAAAGAATCATTGAGGCACTTCCTACCATAGTATCTAAGCTCTAAACGATCTTGAGATGAAGCTTGACCAGTGGGATTTGATCAGGTTTCTTATGTGGGTATGATTCTTTCGGGCATCAAGGAAGAAGTAAAAGTGCACAAGGAAAAAACTTTTCTTAGCTGTATCTACACAAAGTAAGGGCATTGTCCTCAACATGAAAAGCAGCTCTGGGTGTGGTGTCTTCACTCTTCCTCAGTGCAAGAGAAGGGTGAGATTACGACTCAGATGTTAAGATTTAGTATATAGCCCCTGCCAGACTTGCAGCTAAAGGCACGATGGGATTTGATGCATGAGCCACACAACTGTGC